AGGCCTTTTATTTTTAGGCTTGCTGCATGCTATTGCTGGGCAGCTCGACTGGCTATTAATTGGAAATGTTTTACTTCTCATGCAGTTTTATTCCTATGCTTTCTGCACCACTTAAACCAACCTGTCCTTGGAGGAGATGACAGGCTGTAGAGAGCACGTTTAAAGGGCAGTTACAAGCTGTGCTCTTCGGGTGCAGTGTGGCCCTCTTAGAAACCTTTCGCTGTTCTCTCCTCCTACACCTGCACACGTTTGTGTCTGCGCACACATTTTTCTTAAACCATGTCAAACTTTATGAGCATTAGGGCCATATGGCAGCAGTTCAGCAAGCTCTCAGTGTGCAGCTGAGATTAAAAGGCTCCCTGAGCGCAGCCGGTGGAGTCCCGTGACAGTGCCCGTGTGCCGTGTGCGGTGCTCGGTCATGACAAGTGATCCGAGTGATCTGACACGGGCAGGGCTGGGAGCTGGAGAACCCAGCAGGGCACTTCACGGCTGCAGGTCCCTGCATTTTTGGCAGCTGTGCTACAGACTTCGAGGTACTGTGCCACCCAGCCAAGTTGGAAGCTGAACTGGAGAGAGTGGTACACGATCACAACCGCTATTTTTAATACTATTGTCACTACCTTCCCCAGTAACCTAGACAACAGCAAAACCCTCTCTTCTTTCCAGTTTCAGAGCACTACTACACTAGTTTGAACTACTGTTCAAGCTGGAGTCAGTGGCAAAGCTCAAGTTCGGAATAAAATCAGCTCCCATTCAACTGGCATTTCATTTACTGGGACTTTTAACTCCACGAAGCTCACATGCCTTTGCATCTACCACTTTAAAATGTTGGCTAAAAATATTTGCGTTATCTGAAGTCAGATGAATAAATCCTCCCCGCTGCTGGGTACACAGTGTGGCAGTGCAGGACACAACTGCAAATTTATTTGTTAGAAACCGTACATCTGTTATGATTTACTCTTGCCAAAATATAATTCTTTATGGCAACAATTGTTTCACGGTGCTTAAAGTTTTTCACCTCTGTGCCAGGAATCTCATATGGGATAATTCCATGACCTTGGAATCCAGCAGATACATTCCACATCTGTCTGGTCTGGGAAAGCCCAAGTTTGTTGTGTGAAAACCATAGTGGGAAAGTGAGACCTGGAAATATCTGAATATACAGAAACTGCAGGGCTGCTTATTTTTTTCTTTTTTAATTACCAGTGTCAAGTAAATCAATCTCACAGAAGTCGTTGCTTTGGTTTTGTAAGCAGACATTCGCTTCTGATCCTATCTTCAAATTAAGGAATATGGCATAAACATTACAATAATTCTATCTCTGGAAAAAATCACAGCCTTTAAATATTAAAACTAAATCTTGTTGAAGGCTGCTTGAGATAGATTTAAATGGAAAAGTGCCCAACCTACTGCAAGCAAACATTTTACTGGTGCCTGTAAAGATTTAGGATGTCAGAAGAACCATAGCTGTCCTGGAATCTCAGGGTAATTCTTCTTTCATTAGACTTTTTTAAAAAAATGAATCGTAAACAACTTTGTGAGCAGTGAACTTGAAAATATCTGGTTTCCTGTGATTCTTCCCTGTGCACATTTTCTGTTATTCTAATAATTTGGCTGAGCTCCTGCTGCAGCCTTGCTGTCCAAGGAGCACTGTAGCATTCCCATGCATACAGCCTGCACCCCAAATAACCTGCACCCCAAATAACCCCTGCAACACTGGGGATAAGAGGGTAGACAAAAAGCCGTGAAAAAAAAAAAGGAAGAAAGAAGAAGAGGAAGAAATACAGAGAAAAGGTGAATGTGTTTGCTTGACAGGGGGTGAGATTAAATATTCTTGTCCATACTAACCAGGATGATATTCCTGGTTTAAAGCAGGAATTGCTGTTCTGATCATCACCGGGGCTATAAGTCTTCCTTTCAAAAGGGTTTAATGGTTCCTCTTCAGTCTGCAAATCCTGAAGGTGCCAATTCATTCATAGGCTATGTCCTTTGGCAGGACTAAGGTAGTTACAGATTGGTTCCCAAAGGGATGTCACAGAGGAAGGTGGCCTGGCAGGCTAACCAGAGATGAATGCCTAATTTATGAAGTTCATACAAAACTGTACTAACAATTTTAAATCCATGTGTGAGTCCTGGGTGTCTTAGAGAAGCTTTTATGATAGGAGGCACAAGATTCCACTTGGAGCCAGTATCTGGGATGCTGGTGCACCAAAGCTTTGTAAATTGATAACTGATTTTCCAAGGCATGCCATGAATGATCGTGGTTCATAATAAATCATAAAATTATAGCATGGTTTGGGTTGGAAGTGACCTTAAAGATCATTTAGTTCCAACCTCCTACCATGAGCAGGGACACCTTCCACTAGACCAGGTTGCTCAGAGCCCCATCCAACCTGACATTCAACATTTCCAGGGATGGGGCAGCCACAGTTTCTCTGGGCAAGTTGTTCCAGGGGTCACCACCCTCACAGGGAAGAATTTCTTCCTAATCTCTAATCTAAACCTACTCTATTTCAGTGTGAAGCCATTGCCCCTTGCCCTGTCACTCCAGGTCCTTGTAAATAGTCCCTCTCCATCTTTCTTGTAGGCCCCTTCTGGTACTGGAAGGCTGCAATTTGGTCATCCCAAAGCTTCTCTGCTCCAGGCTGAACAATTCTAATTCTCTCTGCCTTTCCTCATGGGAGAGCTTCTCCATCCCTCTAATCATCCTCTGAGGAGCAGAGGGACAGAATCTCCTCCCTTGACTCGCTGGCCACACTGTTTTTGATGCAGCCCAGGATAAAATTGGCTCAAAATGTAAAGTGAATAAATAGAAAGGTTAAGTGAGTACCTTGCCCAAAAATTGTGAGGCAAAGCTAGCTTTGTACTACTGGACACGCTGTGCTCCAAAGGAGGCTGCATTCTAGTGATATATGAAATGGTTTCTGCACATACAGCAGCCAAACAAATTGGCTACATTTCTACTGTTTTGGATCAAAAGGCCACAAACATCAAAAAGTATGTGAAAGAAGCCAATGGCTTTTCAACATATTGTGACAACAAACCAGCCAAAACTACTTTCAGCCAGGTTTCAGGATAACGTGTTCCTGGCGACTTGCAGAAATTTTCCTGCAGAAAAGTTTAGCATCAAAGATGTGAACTCCTGTAAAATCAAGTTTAGAATAAAAAGCTTAAACTGTATGTGAGCAGGCAGAAATACTACTGCAGCACAAGAAATAGTTGATACTGGATGTTCATTCCTTAAAGTAGAAAAATATAGGCAATTTCCAAAGGGAGAAACTATGTCAGATTTACAGTGGAAGGGTGAGATGAGCAGATACTTTATACAGTATGCAGTGTTAATGCTTTTCTACCCATTCAAGTCTTAACAGCTGTTTCAGTAAGAGGGGGAAAATGAAGGCCCTTGGTAACTCTTAAGCAAGCTGCCAATTTTCCACATGGGATTCCATGGCTAAGAAAATTAGGTTTTCCCAGTCTCACGCTGCTGCAAAGAATAACAGCACACTTAGTAACGCTGGGAGAGACTCAAATTCTGTATTTATGAAAAAACTTAGGAAATATAAGTTTTTCTTATATACTGAACTATCTTCTTAACAAAAAAGATTGCCTAATATCTAGTCTCTTTTATTCTGACACTATTGTTTTGAAGGGACAGTGCTTGTCACATATTTAATGTTCCTGAAGTGTCTCACTGTGTGATAGACGGGTGCAGTTACTGGCACTGACAATTTTGTGAGCATCAAAGAGAAACTATGTTCATAAATCAAATACATATTTTCAACACTCAAGAGGAAACAAGGTTGGAATTTTAAGTGTCAGATATTGATTATGAACCAAATTCTGGCTGCCTTAGATAGAGACACCTGTCCAAAAATCCACAGATAAGGAGCAAGCAAAGCAAAGCCTGCTGGCCTCGAAACCATCTGGAATGGGGGCTGTACAAGCCCTTTCTCACCTGAGCAGGGCAGGATCTCTTTCCTCTTCAATCACATCTCAGCACAGTAGCCTGATGGAACCAGAGATGTACATACAACTGGGTCCTAAGGCAACAGAGTGACACCAGCTTCTTACATCCATCTCACCCACCTTCTCCCATAGTGAGGGATTCCAATTACCTCCCAGTTCCTTGTGCCACCACTGCCTCATTGCTGGACACAGCCTGGCATGTGTACTGGAATTGTCACCACAAGTCAAATCTTGGTCATTCCAAGTCTATATATTTGTGTATGAATCCTCACAGCTGGTGCTGAAAAGCTCCTACTTCAATCCATAGACAATCATATCCTAGTGCTCTCTTGTTATTCAGTCTGAACCTCTCTAATACCTTTTTATAACTTGTTATATCACAGTGCCTTGGTATTTGTATGAGATACCAAAGATCAAAATATTTATGTCAGAGAGGGAGGAAAAACCCCGTCAGCATCTGTTTGCAGAAGTGAGATGGTGGAACTGAAGTGTCAGATAATCTCCCAAAAAGATGTCAGCATTTCCAGCTGCCTGACAGATCTGTCTGCCTGTGTGAGAGTAAACAAGAAAATGGCTCAGCCATTTGGACTGAGTTTAAGGCAAAACAAAGAACAAATTATCCATTTTCTGATCAGATCTCCTGCTCCAGTTTACAGATGTCAGTTTGTGATAAACCCTGTAAGTCCCTTTGGGAACAACGATCAATGCACTGTGTGGCTGGTCAGCCCTGCTGAAGCACTGGCAACTTGGAACTAGAAAAATCTCCTGTAGAAAACAAACCTTCAAACAGTAAAGACAATAGACACACCTCAAAATTCCTCTGCATTTTCAATTTACTGGAAATAAGATTGTCCCACTTAAGACAATTCCATGGAACTGGTCTCTGAATTCATTTGAATTTTGAGTAGGTCTCCTGGGTTAAGTGGAGTTAGATTTATGCTGAAGTAAGAGATTGAACTGAACCCAAATGTCTTTAATACACAGCCTTGATCTTTACCAGGAAATGACAGAGCTTATCAGGATGCCAATCTTACCTCTGTAATAATGAAGAAGTCATCACCGGGCTCTCCCTGCACAACAATTTTTTCCCCATCTTCAAACTGGACAGGTTCCAGTGCATCAGCCACTGTCAGCCGCTCCCATTTGTCCAGGGACTCTAAAATATTGAAGATCATAAAACTATATTATAAAAATACTCTTAACTTTGGCAGAAGATTCATATCTAAACTGACAGCTCTGCCATGCCTGGTTCTGTTATAAAAGAAACATTTCTTTTCATCCAGGCACTTTGCACGAACCTCCAGTTGGGAAACATGAATGTATTTATTCATCGTGTCTTAGACTTTAGTAATCACCCAGATAGTAATCTTAAAAGTTGGACAGGAAAAGTTGGCTCCGTTTCCCTACGCCTGCAATCTGACACACGGTGCCCTGATGCTGCCATGGATTGGAGCAGCTGAGGAGCTGTTCAGAGATACCAACGATGTGGGAGCGCCAGGATTCTCTTACCACATCCCACACCAGATGTCAGGACAAGTCCTACTGTCTTTTCGTCAGAGCTGCTCCCATCTGGTTCCTGATGGGCTGCAGATAAGTGATGCAGAGCATTGATCTCAGAGATGACTCTTGCCCAGGGGCGAGACCAAGCACCACCAGAGCCAACAGCCAGCCCCTGGTGGCACCAGAGGCCTCTGGATTCATGGATGTTTGAGATGGCACCGCTGTTTCATTTGTCAGCAGGACAGTTTGTAAAGTTTCCTTTTTATTGCCTCACTTAGAAAGAAAAATTATAAAACTTCAAAGTAAACCTAAGTAAACCTGTGTGTTTTAGGAGGAAGGGAGCAAACACAGCCAGCTCCCTGTGGCCTGGGGTCTTCATCACCCCCCTGCACCTGCCCCAAATCCCCTACATGTGGTACCTACATGGCAAAGGCCAGCCTGCAGAGGGCACATCCAGGACTGCTCACTAGCCCACTGCCCTCCTCCTCCTGCCTGAGGGGTGAATTCTCTGTCCTGCCCTTGGAGAGGAGAGGTGCCACCTGTGTCTCTCTCCAATACCCATTTGCATGAGAATTCAAGACAGTGAACTGTACTTGAACTTTTGTACTTTTATCAGATTTGATTGAAAAATTACAGGTTTAAAAGTTATTAAAAGAAACAGATAATACAATGGTTTAACCTTCACTGCCTCAAAAAGCTGGGCTAAAATTCATGTGCCAGAGCTCTGCTGATTCTGACTTCTTATGAACTATTGAACCAATCTAAATCAAGATATGCTTTCTGACACCAGGATCTGTGCTGTTCTATCAGACTCTGGTTTCCCCATTTTGTTCAAAATATTTCTTAGAAGTATTGTGTGAGGGTGAAAGAGTTGTTCTCTAGAAGTTAAAAAGCCTTTTGGCTGAGCTCAGAAGGGTACACTGAGTCTGGTAATAAAACCAGATATAAGTGATCAGTACACCAAAGGTAAGTTTTGAGGAGGTTGACACATGTCTTCATGTTTTTATGCCACTTTATGTTTGGGAAATTATTGTTTCTAACATTTTCCCTACCTATAATCACTACAGCCCTTCCCTGGTGTGTTTGTGACCTTTGCTGCAGCAGCATTAATGTCAAAGACCAAGCCCATATTGTCAATGGAACATTCAAAAACTGCTCTGTTTGACTAAAAATAAGCATAAAACACTTTCATACATAGTAGAGAAAGCTTTTTCTCTTTTTTTTTTTTTTTAGGAACTCGGTAATTAACAATGAAAAGAAAGAGTCTCTTGAAACTTCTTCTACAGTTGGCTTTATGAAAAATTCAAAGCTAAATCTAGCTTTAGTCACGAAGTGTCTCCCTTTTGTCTAAGGGAATTGTACCACTGCAAATACATTGGTTAATAATTCTTGCAAACAAGCGTTATATAGAATATTCTACAAGTTTTAGTCACAGGGTTGAAGTTAAGCATCAAACAAAGTAGACCATATGAAATTTTTTGCAATTCCTAAATTTTACGTATCAATTCATGGGTTTATATTTAATTAAACTCCAGAGGAAAGATTTAAACCAACTAGTTTTTCCATATCTTGTTCAATACACTATAAGCAGTCACTGATAACCTAAAAAAATCCTTAGATTTTAAAAAGAAAAATGTGACTCCTACAATTATATAGCTAATTACAGACACTAGACAGGCCTTGGAAAAAAAAAATATATAGAAGTAGGTAGAGGTTTTTCCACCATGAAATCACAGAGTTCTGACCACATTAAAGGATGAAGTGAAGTTGAATTCTCCGTGCTGTGTTGAGATTTCTAAAATATCTTCCTGCTTTCCCAGGTGTCATCTACTTTTTAGACATGTCAAATGGATCCTTACACATTTCACCTAAATTTCCATGTTCCTGCAATGATGTGTTATTTTGTTCACTGCTTTTCTGTACTTAAAAAAGGTTCAAATCTTGAAGTCCTTCCTCTTTTTTTACTGAGATTCAAAAGCCACACTACAAATTAGGCTATAATTACATTGCAAACCGCATGTTTAAGGAAGCACATCTCTGAATAACCTTTCTACTCTGAAATTGTTTTGAGATGTCTCATTGTTGTAATTGCTCCTCATTAGTGCAGGTGCACAGAGCCTTTTTTCTTGAAATACTCGTTGTAATTTGGTATAATTTGTGCTCTTAATTTAGGAAGATTTAAATTAAGCATAAAAGAAGGTATTTAAATGATGGAAACTTCATTAATAAGTCAGCAACATACTTGGCCTTACTTTAAGCATACAAATATAATTGAAAATTTCATGGATAGCACCTCTCAGAAGTTCAAGTATACTCTCACTGAGACACTCTCATATTTCAGGTGCCTCAGCTCAAATGGTAGGTGAATACCATAAACAAGAACCAGAAAATTTTTAAGGAGAAATACAAATACTTTAATTATATAGCAAATGAATCCTGAACTGTTTTTTTCCAAATAGCCCCAGTAGAAACATGTTTCTCCTACAGAATCAACAACTCATTGTACTGTCTAACACTGTCCTCCTTACTAGAGGCTTTTGTTCTCCTAATGGTGATTGATTGGTCAGGCATTATGGGTTTGTTGTTTTTCCTACTGAAGGCCATCAAGAACATGTCCAAATTTCGTGGCTATCACATTAATCAAAGGGAAACAAAATCCAAGGACAAGAAGCTAAACAGATGTTTTAAGAATGTGAGACAGGGGCTGTAAAATGCACAGAAGAAAAAAGATCAGTCCACTTTGATTTTTAAGGTTAGTTTGTTTAGTGCACATAAACACGGTATTCTTGCAGGAAAAAGCTTCTCACCTGTCCCCTGGAAGGATGTAACTAGACTTTATGACAAATTCATATCTCTGCACTGCTTTCTGCTCCAGCCATATGATCTTTAGGGACCAGCAGCTATTGAAAGGTTACCAGTGTGTGCCTGCTCCCATGTTTAATGTGTGCTTCAAATACAAGTTCAGTGCATAGTAAAGATTGAGAAGAACAAGTCCTAAAAAGGACCCTTTACACTTTCATTTCTTCAGAAACAACGCAACGAGAGCCCTTCTGTTTGACCACCATTGCTTTCATCATGCCATCAAAGTCCAAAATTCACTCTGCCAACACATATAACCGAGGAAATAACAGCCAAGTTCCAAAGGGCAACTGACCCAAAATGGAGACCTTGCTCAGGAATTCTTCATACATCTTCCGCTTCCTCAGCGTGCTGCCCTGTTATTACAGGAGAGAGAAAAAGGAGGCAGAACATTACACAAAGTATTTTTGTGATTTCTTCCTACAGCTGCTCTTTTTTTTTTCTTCCCTCCCCTTCCAACTCTTAAGCATAGCCAGTGTAAACAGCCTCAGGCAAATCTTTCCCCATAAAATGTCTGGGCAAGTTGTATTGCTGATAAGCAAAGACAGAAGGACTCAAATTCAATCCTGGTGTAATTTCACTGACTTCACTGGTGTTACTGGACACTGAGGGTGAATTGTATCCATTATTTACTGGCACTCATTTTAAAGCCTGAGCTTCAATTAACTCTTTAGCTAATTCAATATATATCTCGTTGCCAATGAGGCCCTGCCAGAAGGGAATTTGCAATTACAAAATAGGATAAAACTTAACATGTCCCCATGATGGATCCCATCCTTTTAGGTTAAAAACTCCTTAATGCCAAGAGTATTTATCTGTAATATTCTGTACAGTGTTGAATCTATTGTTACTGCTGAGCAATTTATTCATATTATTATTTTAACAGGATTTAAGCATTCTGTGGCAGACAATCCATCAGTGTATGTGCAGCCACCAGCACAGTCATTCCCCATTCTACTAAGATTTTGTTGGGTGATAAATTACCAAGACACCTTCTGCTCACATAATGTTTGATCACCAAGACAGAAACCATGTCACCATTCCAGCACAGATTTTGGAAGACACTTCATGGAGGAATAATTATGATGCAGCTTTACCTATACAAAAATAATGAATTAATCCTTAATTCCTTCTGCAGTGACACAAATGACTTGAGAACAAAATCTTCCCCAGTAACAAAGAGGAACTCCAGGGTCTGCCTTGGTACCATGCAGTTTGTTCCACACTGATGACACCCAACATCCTTTCTGCCTGGACATATTCCCTGTGGATGTCAAAGGCTGCCTGGTGCCTGCTAGTCAAATCTACAAGGCACAACACAAGGATGACACATTCATCTTCTCAAGAAAGGGGAGATAAAGATGCCATTTATTCATAGGCTGGGTACAGAAGGCGAAAGCAAATGTCAGTGTCTGCCACAGAAAATGCCACTTCTCTATTCCTCCTTCTCCAAGAGAGCACCTGTGAGTGCTGGAAGCAGAGGCAGAAAGTGAGGATAGAGAAAGGAAAAGGAGAGAAAAAACATTCTACCCTCCACTGTGAAAGCATCCAGAAGTGTTTAAAGTATGAAAATGGGAAAGGCTGGTGTACTCAAATGCAGTGATGTAACTAGCAATTAAACATCATCCCCCTTCCTACATGTGCTGTGCAGGGGGGGGTGCAACGACCCCCAAAGCAATGTGAATCCTTCCACCAACACCAACAGGTTTTGGATCCAGCTTTGGACAAAGCAGCAGCTGAAGATGCCAGGTGCTCTCCTCTGGGGACAGCTCCCATTTGTGCCCCTCTCCCAGGGCCACCCCTACTCCAGGACAGCCACAGCACCATCAGGAGCTGCCACTCTCCCCAGGTAGCTCTGGCTCAGCAGCAGCAGCAGCTACCGAGGTCTCCCCTTCCGCACCCCGTTCATAATTTCCGAGTCTGGTGATGACAGTTCTCCTCAGCGATAGCATCGGTAACCCCTGTCTGACCTCTCTGTCTGACAAACTTGGTTCTCAACCTCGGGGGGCCCCGAGAGCATTTGAAGTGCCAGAAAGAAAAAAAAATGAAGAACTTCAAACGCAGGAGGCTCTGCAAACCACGCCAGCCCCTGACAGCTCGCTGCGAGACAAAGAATGGAAAACTGGACACTGCACAGTTGTTGCTTTCCTCCCTGCAATCGAGTGGAAACAAGTCCAGCAAAATTGACAGCTGTGGAAAACCAGATTGGTGGTTTAGTTTGATGGGCCGGGACACCCGGGGACAGATGTGGAAAATGCTTTTTAAATGACTTGCGGACACAGACGAATTTTAAGAAGCAGTAATCAGCAGCCATAAGTGACGCCTGACCACGGCTTTGAGTATTTAGAGAGACCCAGGAAGGTAGGAGTTGCAGACATCCCACCTGGCCCAGAGAGGAAGAGCCCATCACTTCCTACAGGAAAACAGGTGTGTTATGTCTTGGCTAAACTAAGCCAGGGCAGCGGTACAGAATCCACAGTGAAGGCAAGTGCAAAAGCAAAACTGAAGCGGAAAGAATTAATTAAATGTGCTGTTAAAATGTTTTGTATTGTGATAGTATCTAGAACCTCAGTGGGACTCCACTTAATGCAGGCTACACTGCATTAAATATCCCCTGCCTCAGGATGATCCCACAAAGGTGAAGATGAGCCTAGGGAGGAACTAGTGACTGAGGCTTAGGATTCCTGTTTCCCAGCACATGCACTGAAGCCAAAGGTGACCCAGTTGATGGCTCCTAACTCAACCTGCAGGATGGCTCCATCCATCCCTTCCTCTCTCCTGAGGGAGACAAACAACACAGGGGGCACGAGCCACACAACAATAGAACTTCCCCTCAGGGTGCCCAGCACAGAAGCTTTCTCTGCCTTTTCAGTGCACCCAAGGCTGGATCCCAATTGGAACAACCAGATCCCAATTTTTCTTCCAGACAGGAGAAGCCTCACTCACACTCACACATATTGTTTTCACTTGAAAGTGTTTTCCTGCTCAAGCTTTCACAAGCAGAGTGAGGGGAAGGGTTTTGAGAGATCAGTACCTTAAGCAAGCTAGAAACAGCCCAGCAGTAGAACTCTTACAACCAACCAATGTGCTTATTTCCATTGGTATTAACCATCTTTTCTCCCATGAAACAGAGAACACAGAATTATAGAATCACAGAGTGGCTTGGGTTGGAAGGGACCTTAAAGATATCTAGGTACTTCCCACCTTCCTTGACTGGCCTTATATTCCCCTCTCATCCCCTCCCATAGCCTTAATGTCACCTCTGACTCCTGAGGTCCTTTTTACACTTGTTTTATTTGGTCTAGTCACTTCACCCAAATTGCTGAGGCCACTGGTATGAACACCATCACAAACTTCTCTCCTAATTGAAGTGCCAGCCAGCACATTCCCTGGGACATGTGCTGAGCCTGTTCTCATGCAATATTTTCAGAGATCTTTTAGAACCAGCAACAAATCAGACAGTAACAATACCTACAGACTATGAGATGCTATGAGAGCTTGTGAGAGCAGGAAAATAACAAGAAAAGACCCAGAGACATTAGAAATGGGGCTAGAAAATAATAGAATTAGCTTCCATTGGGAAAAAACCAGCTAAGAAAAAGAAATCCAGAGCAGAGATGTTTGACAAACAGAAGACCTCAAAGTTGTAAAGCTGAAAGAGATTTACAGACAGTAGGTGAGACCTGCATCAGACAGCAACGACAACACAGCCAGGGCTATTTTGGTCTATACATGCCAAGATATCATCCAGGAATGAAGTTTAGAGGCTCCATCTCCGTGGCTCAGATGTGACGGCGCCTGGTGTGCTACATTCTGTCTCGGTACCTCTTCCCCAGAAACGTGCTCCCAAATCCAACAGAGCTTGAAGAAATGCTAAAACACTCGGGGAGAGCTGATAAGGAAGGAGCAAAACAAATTCAGCCTGTAGTTGTTGGCTCAGCACTGGGATCATAGGTATGTCATCCTCATAGCTGGCATGCACCGTGGCAAGGTTTTAAGTAGACAGTGATAATCATCTACAGATATATGACAGAAGGAGAGGGCAATTCAGTACAGCATAACTTGACATAACTCAAAGTAATAGGAGAAAATTAAGAAAATCTAATTTAAGATCAATATCAAAAAAGTTTTCCCAATGTAAGAATTATTCTCTTGCAGAGAAGTTTCCCAAGGGAAGCGGTAGAAATCTTACTGCTTAAGCCAGATAAAAACAATAGTAAATTTACATGAATAATTCTGCACTGGCAGGGTTCTTGATGGCATGTTTTAAGAAGTCTTTATTAATTCTGCTTTTTTTCTAACCTATTAATATCTTATTTCAATAGTCGCTGCTTCTCCCTCTCCCCCCTTTCCTTTGTTCACTTTCTCCCTGGTTCTGAGCTGTCATGCACAAACTCATCTCCTTAAAGACAGTGGTTCCCATTAACTACAAAGCCTCGTTAATATTCTGCAGTGCTCCTCCCTGAGACAATCCCAAGGAGAAACAAGATCACTCACATTCACACAGAAAAGGGCTCAAAGCCAGTTTTAGGACCACTTAATGTAGCAAGCACTAGGCTTAGCTTAAGCAATACACAGGCTGGGAAATATTAATGCCCCAGAGATTGTAACAGGTCTTTTTGAGATCCTGTTCAACATCTGTTTCATCTCTTTTCCAACTGTCCTTTCTTCACCTTCCTTGTTTTCTTCCATTTTTTCCTCCCACTCCTCCAACCTGATCTTTCTTTCTCCCTCCAGCACTCTTTGTGTCTTCTTTCTTGCTTCATTTTTTCAGGTGGAGTTGATTGGGTCCTCCTTAGAAATTCCCACCTTCAGTGAGGAGCCAAACAAATGTCCACTGAACAGCAAAGCATGACTCAGGTTTCAAATAAAGAGTTATCCTGGCAGGAGGTGCCGGAATGGCCTTCTGGACTGCTGCAGCTCCATGTAATCCCTGCACAACCTGATACTGAATGATGCTTTGGGTGTGCATTCTTACAGGAGCATGAAAGAAAGGGTCTCTGTGCATACTGGCCATGATCCACAGCAAATCAGCCCACACGATCCCTGGGCTTTATTCCACAGATGTCGGATGGATTGCAGCCTTTGGATTTGCTTTATGCTCTGGCCACTACACAACCTACATTTTATGGCAACACAAAGTCCTCCTGATTTCATTTTCTCTGAGCAGAAAAAAAAGCACTTGTTAGAGAATTTGTTCTCAGGTTCAAAGCTGTGAAAAGATGATAGAAGAAACCAAAAAGAGCATAAATAAAATGAAGTGTAAGATCAGGAACTGACTAACCTTGATTTGTCATGGCTTACATCCCAATACTACAACTCCCTTTCTGTGAGTAAAGTTTGCCAAATAGGCAAAAAGTATTGTATCCTGTACAACTCCACTCTCAGAGCCAGGTATCTTGGACCATGGGAACTAGAGGATAGTTAAATTATCCTGAATCAAGTCTTCTTAAAGAAGAAATTGCAAGAAATTAATACTTCAAATTTTCTTAGTCTGGGAACTGAATTGTCTAGGGGATCAATCTGATGTTGGGATACAGACATTTGCTTCTCTGGTATTTGTGGTATTTGCTATATTTAGAATACAAATATTGTACTACCCTGGGATGTTCCCCATTCTGAGATGCTCTTGAATCCAAATTGCAAAGAAGAGAGTAGCAACTGAATTCCATGAGAAGCCTATGGCAAAAAAAATCCTTTGCAGCTCTCCCAGAAGAATGTAAGTAAATAAATATTGAATATATACACAAATGTGTGTGTCTGTGCTTATGTGTGCACACACAGAGAACACATACATAAAAAAATTTGCAACAGGGTGAAAAGTATGAGACTCAGCACAGATTATTTTATGAAATAATTGGAACACACGGATGGACAGATAATTTGTGAGTTTACCACAGGGGGAACATGTCAAAGTGGTTTTTTGTAACCCATCTAGTACAGTGAATTTCATGGTGTAATACTTTGTCAAGGACTGCAGTGAAAGCCAAGCAATTTCACTGCAAATCCTGACAGAAGGACCTATCCCAAACTTTACAGTCATCACAGCTGCTAAAACAAACTTGAATGTGACATTCAAGACATCAGGGTACCTAAGCTGAGACAATGAAATAAAGAAATATATCTGTTTTAACAAACTTCCTTTGGGACTGGCTAAATAATAAATGGATGACAAGTGTAACTAAAAACCAGCAGGAACTTTCTGCATCAGGCTTTGTCCATCCATAAAAAGGAAAACCCAAACTCCAAACCTCCAGAAATGCATTTTATTCATACCATAAACCACTCAGGATCAATGAGACACATAAGTGGGGAAAATGGCACTAAACAGAAATAAAAACTAGAAATTACTAAATGCAAAGCAGACAACCAAAACAGTGACTGCAAGGAGAAATGAGGTGGAGAGTCAAGTGTCTCATGACAGGATAAAATCTTTTTGGCAAGTGTGGATCTGAAGGCATGATTTGCAAATAAATATTTACAATCAGAATAAAATTTCAACACTAGGCTGAGAAAACACGGGGTTGGTCACGGCAGGGAAGGAATGCAGACGAGAGAAATAACTATCCTGGGTTATGGAGGGGCTTTATCTGACTACAGAAAAGAAACATAACTTGGGGAGAAAAAGGTCATTGATCCCTTGGACAAAAGGGCTCGCAAACAGAAAAGTAAAAGAAAAGAAAAACCTTCTCACTACGAGTTTTACCAGCTTAAATGACAGATTTCAAAAATATCCTAAATGTTTCTACATCTAAAATATCCAGTTAGAGGCTAAATGGCAGGAAACCGTGTTTCTGGGACTTGAAAGGCAGCTACTTAATACATCTTGAAACTGAGCACAGCAAAACCAGACCCATAATGGTGGAGTTCGCTTCAAGTATGAAATGTAGCCACTGAAACATGATGTAATTAATTCTTAGGCTTGAGGAAATGTGCAGAGAGCCACTGTAACCTGCCCTCACATGACTGCACAAAGACAGGTGTCTGATTTCACCTACAGCAAAGAAATTATCCACCTTGCCCCTACAAATAAATGGAAAGATGACAGGATTCATGTAGTGTGTGGATGGCTAAATTTCATTCACCAGGGACAGCACTGAAAATTGGACATCTTCTATACCTGCAGCAATTAATTCACCATCCTACTTGAAATATTTCCTGTCTGAGTATTGGGAATAGTGCAACCGTGCTGTCTGGGTGTCTAATGCAATGTAACAGACCACCAGTTTTCAATGGCCCCAACTGTAAAAAAAAAACCCCAGAAGAGACAGAGGGAGAGAAAACACATCCATGTTAATTTACAGGTCTCATCAATAGCAGAAACTGAGCTTGCTAGGTGAGGTAGAGCAGTCACTGGTCAAGAGAATACCTAAATTAATTTCAAAAGCACTTAGCACTACACTAGAATCAAATAGAAGTATCTCCATAATATTCAAGTTATATGTATGAATAAAGTCTTTTCCACTTGAGACTTGAAATCCTTTTATCAAATTCTTGTCTCTGCATCAAGTATTCATCCTCTGAAGGGTGCTATGAGATGATAATGGACACATGACCAAACCTGACAGCTCACAGGGCTGGATGATGTCAGGTACCACTAGTTCCATCAACACTAGCAGTGAAATCACCTCTGGGCTGCTAAGCCTGTGAATCTGTGCCTTCAATTCCTCAGTAGCAAGGTTACAGGCAGCTGCAAAAAGCTCTGCTTAAAAAGCCAAGGAATATGTGTCTTGTCCTGACGTTTATTTCCCTCCTACACTTCTACTCTTTTGTATTTTGGATTCTTCTTCGTAGCATGCAGGTTCATCACACAAGTTATCCCAGGCACCCCTCCACTGCACCCATGTAGGACATGGGACAAATAAGTTGGATGTGCCTCTTAAATCTCTTTAGAAATTCTCCTGCTCTATGTTTTAGAAATATCTTTCAGAAATGCCTCTGCCTGCTTCCCTGCACTGGGAAGCTTTCAAAAGTATTCATCCTGCTTACCCACAAGCGAGAAGACAGTACACTTCTCATCATTATTCCTCTATTTTGTCTTGGAGCCATTAGGCTGAATATTTTGGGATAGAGTAAATTTCCATTAGATGTGCCCTCCTAGATGTCAGTGTGAATTTTGTTTATGTGACACTGAACTCAGCCCTTGAAATACGGAGTGAACACCAGCAATGCTCATACAGACATCCAACAGGATAAATAAAGATCACTCTTACACTCTGTGGTTAAGAACTAACCATGTAAGTGTAAAATCTCTGTTTCTTTCCTAATTTTTCTGTTTTCCATGACATCCACTGGAAATATAGGTGATCTCAAAATGTACACTCCTTTATTAGTCTGAGAGCAGAGTGTCATTTCCTCCAGATCAGAATGGAACAATGCAGCTTTTAGAAAAAAATCATGTTGAGAAAGAAGCTTTACATAGAGTTATGTCTGTTAATTATCAAAAGGAAAGGAATATTTCAAGGAGAAGGAAGATATGCACATGGACATTGGAAACAAACTCATAAAAAAAGTTATGACTTTGCTGAAGTTAATTATCTGTCAAAGTTTCCACTATAAACTCACCACTCAACATCAACTCCATAAGCTCACACACACACCCCAGATGCCACAAAGGTCTGCTGAGCTTTGCTGCAGGGCTAAGGGAGTTTGAAAGGAGCAGAGCAATGAATCATTGGCAGGGGCTCTGCAGCTCCCATCCCATGGTGTGGCTGGGTGCTGGCTAACACAGATGGGGGGCACAGTCCAACCAGGACTCTTTTATTATTTCAGTGGACCTGGATTTACTTCCTGCTTTGAGGAATATAACACAAGTTCAGACAAAGACTTCATAGGCAAGAGGTGCTGCTGAGACACATTTCAAGGCTCATGATAAGGAGAGGATTTGCAGAGATTTGGTGGGTACCAGAGGCCTCCTGAGGTTTTCATTCATGTGTAGCAGTTACGCATAATGTTATTCAGTTGAGTTTCTGACTCAGCGTCTTTCTGCTGAATCCTGTCCCCTTTTCTTTCAGTTCACTTAATTCAGTTACTCAATGTTTTTGTCATGTCCGCTCTCTTTTGTGCAGAAGCACAGACTGCACAGCCTTCTATCACCAGAGCACTCTGAACACAGAAGTGCTGGTGCTACAAAAGATAAAATATAAAAATACCAACTCCATAGATGAGCCCTTCTCCATAAACTTACCATTAAAATGCGTCTGTAGCTGTCCCTGTCGATGCCCCAGAGCTTCAGGTCTGTCTTGGCCTTGACAGTGGCAGCCCGGGGTGTTCCATAGATCAGTGCCAGCTCCCCGAAGCTGCCTCCTTCTCCAATGCTGGTGACCCACTCCCCGTTGACATAAACCTACCACAGCACAAGACAAAGCAAGAAGTAATAGCAGTTTGGGGGCTGAGATGCAGTTCTACTGCCAGTTACCCAAAAGGCTGTCAGTAATTTCCTTTCATCAGCTCTGGGGACACAGAAGGAAAACAAGAGCGTAACACTTTCTGCAGTCAGTCCCCAAAGAGGGCAACAACCTGTTCTGTGGACAGAATTTCAAGTTGTCTTGCTTCAGTACAATGACTGTATTTACTCTCCGAGTTTTCAGCTCCCATGGTTAACTGGCATCATGTTTTCCCTCTTGTGTTCAAGGCTCAGGCAGTCAACAAGCAGAACTGTCACAACTTTGGCTTTTTATTAACACTGTCAGACTTGAAAGGCAGGAGATTTGTTGATATGTGTAATGAGGGTTGCTGTAAAGCACCATGGCCATGAAATGAAAAACAGTCAAAACAAGGAAATATCTTTTCAAAAGAAACATTTTTTTCCCTTCCTTAAGCCTAGTGCTTCCAGCAACCATTTAAATATAAGTATACAGATCTCCTTCTCCCTTAGTGAAGATGAGGAAGTGCTTTGGACTTGAGAAGCTCTGTGTAGAACAACCCTTTGTCTTTAACATCAGCTCTACAGAAGTCAGGAAGCAGTGTTTGACCCACAGTTTATTTAGGTACCTCTTGGAACATGGTTCAGCTCTATAGCACTATCACTATATTTTTCTTGGATTATGTTTAATTTGAGAAAAATTCCTACACTTGGTAGGAGGAAGGGGCCTTGTGCAGGTGCTTTCCACTGGGCTGCGTTTTCCTCTCCACTCAAGGACAACACAGCTCAAGAGACATGACAGTGTATGCAAAGGCTGGTGTGGACTGTGCATTCTAAGGCTTGCTGCCATAAACTACACAATAAACCCTTTTAATTCTGTTAATGTGTCCTTGAATTTGGAGGGAAGGAAAGGCTGGGTGCTTATACCCAGTGCAGAGTATATCCCAAACTGTTACAGACCAGTAACAGCAGAAATCAACCAGAATTAATTTCATTTGTTTGGAAGTTCCGTGAAGAAAAATAATATGAAGAAAATAGGCAGTTATTCTCATCTTAAGAAGAGAAGTATTGCAAAGGCAGAGATCATAACCTAACACCAATTACTGAGTAATAAACTAGCAGGTTTTTAAAAATATATGAATTAGGGCTGTGTTCAAGCTGGGCATGAGAAAAGATGGTGACCAAAATAAATGAACTGGGGTCAAAATTCAATGACCTGTCAGTATTAATTTTACTTCTATCTTCCTTTTATGATGAAAAGGTGTATTACAAAATACAGCTGGAATCAATCCCAATTTATCTTCACAATATTCAATTAAGATTTTCTCCAGCTCCTACTGAGGTCAGTGAAATTCAGGTTCAGTAGGAGATGGATGAGGCCACAGAGCAGTTCAGCTGATCAAGAGACCTCTTGGGTATCAGCTGAAAAGGAGCAGCATTGGCACCACTGCTGAACTCCAGGCAATGTGGTGGCTCCTGGTGCTCCTGGAACATCTGAGGATAAAGGGGCTGAAAAATAAAGGGTAAAAATAATCCCAAACAGGCAGGTGGTAGCAGACTGCCAAGAAAGAGCTCAAGCCACAAAAGCTATAGCTTCATTTCTTCACCATGACAGAATGAATGTCACACGGGAGAACATCACACAAGAGAACAGAACAGCCTTTCCTTTCAAACTTTCACACAGAAAGAAAATCTCACAGAACACCGAATCTGCTTTTGATTCCCCTCATGATGAAAAAATGAAAGCAAAGAAGTTTTAAAAAAGCCAGGAAAACCCAAGCACTTTCTTGGTGAAACAAGCAGGTAATTCTGTGGCTCCTGGATCTTTTTTTCCCCTTTTTTTGTGAGACAAGCATGAGAAGTGGATGAATAAAAGGAGGGTTCTGAAAGGTTTGTAACATAGTGAGAATGTATGAACATTTCTAAACTCTATTAATTCATAGCAAAATTGTCCAGATGCATATTTGACTGTAGGGATACTCTCCTTCTGTGGGAATTTCACTGGATGGACCCAGGGTTTGCTACAGTACAGTAATCCATGTGTCCCCAGTAAAAAGTTTCAGAGATGATGGTAAAAATCTAATAATGCCAATGAGCTTGGGACCACATCCTTAATGTCAATTGACATGGTACCCTTGACTCTTTTTCAGCACACCAAAAGTGCATGTGTTTCTCTATGTTCTTTAGTTGAAAAATACAGATTTTGTTGTTGCAGAATGGTCTGAATTATAAGTAGGAAATACAACTCATTCCAACACGTATTTTTAAAGCAATATGGTGACATTTCTTGTTAAAGCAGTGTGCAGGGTGTGACTGCAGCCCAGAGAGGGGAATTATGCTGGTAAAACTCAAGTTTGAGCGAGTGAAGGATGGACATTTAATGTTGCACAGTTGTTATAAAGAGAGGCTACTGCTCTGCTCTAAGACTCCTTTAATTTTGCTGTCTTACTTGACAAGACTCTCCAAAACATGTTTGACATCTCGCCTTAAACAGTTTATGCAAATGGTCATTCGTCCACCCTGAGGGTGTCAGGTTCAAAGTACTCTGAGGTGAAACCAAATCACTGATCTGACAGTCTTTGGGCCCAGCATTCACTCCCCCAATAAAAATGTCATTTCAAATATCAATCTCTGAAAGAGAAAACAGCTTGAGAATAAGTTATTTTCTAGAAGGAAAACCATTGCACTTCATTCTCTGCAAAGGCCTAAGTCAACAATCTACTTTTGTCTTTATGATGAAGTTAAAGTGCATTGATGGCACACTACAAAGCCATCCTGCCCTTTAACAGAGTTCGGCTCCACTATAAATCCCTTTAAAATAGATTTAAAAAAAAAAAAAAAGAAGTAGAAAGGAAAGTAGCTCTGTTTGTAAGGTGTGGGAAGCAAAGCTATTTTAGGCTCAGAACAGCTTATGAAAGCCAATGTTATATGGCAGCAGCTCAGATGATCTCCCTATTTATCCCAAAAAATGCTGGGCTGAGGTTTTGGCTCAGTCAGTTTTAGGCATCTGTGAACTCTCACCAAAGTGGTGAGTACATAAAGGAATTACTCCTAATTTTCACTTGAGCTGTCAATCACAGGTCTGTAATAGCTGGAACCTTCTTTCATGCAGCTGAGGAGAAAAGCAGAACTTCAGATGCCCAAATATGTCCAAGCCCTCAGGACCACCTACTTTTCACACATGAAAAGTACTTCAGATGTCTATTGTTGTTGTATGAGCACTCCAGTTTTTGCAGGCTTGAGAATCACACAGCTTTTTCGTTCCATTATATTTTAGGAGGCAAACAGGAAAAATCTCCTGTGCACATCAGTATTTCCTTTCTTCATGGGCTGTGATATCCATGGGCACGGACTGTGGGAGAAGATGCAGAGTCATACAGTGCTCAATGCAACAGGATTTGGATCTGGGCCTCACTCATCATGTTCTCCAGAGATGCAGAAAGGGACCTTGCCCTGAGCAGGGATGCAGCCATTTTACTTTGAAGGCAGGATATGAATGTCTGTCTCTGAGCTTCACTGGAGTGAATTTATCTTTCCTTTAATTTTGTATTGTTGATTTCAAGTTAATTTCTAGCCTTTTTTTTTTTTTTTTTGCTGCCACTTTGCGATCTATGTGGACAATCTAATTTGTTCCAGGCATTGCAACTCTCACATCTTAAATCCCCTCCCTTGGATCTGTTTGCAATTTGGGCTTTGTGTCTTGTTAAGCCTTAATATTGGTTATCCAAACAAGAAGATGAGTTTTATTTATTCTTGGAAAAATAAACAAGCCTTAGACATGAAGGGTATTTATATGTGGGTAGTTTTCTCAAAGCCAGTGTTTTATTTGTAGTTTGAATTTGAATATATGAACTTGGAGACTGCATAAGAATCCTTAAAAATTCAAGTTGAAAAACTACGAACTTTTAAATGTTCTGCATCAAATTTCAAATGGCAACCTTTTGAAACTAGGAAAATCATTGATGCTGGAAGAATTCAAACCAGAAGCAATCTAGGGAATCTAACCATTAAATATAACTAGTTTTAAAATCCAAAAGAATTCCCACATAAAACACTGTGCAATTTTCATCTGTGTATATACAAATTAGACAGTCTGTATATACAAATAAGGGCTCAAGAAGCTTTGACCTACAATCAAGAGACAATCTTATCTATTATCCACAATATTCATGTGGAAGTCCACATGGAGATTTATACAGTAAATACAGAACCTATTTAAGAAAAAAAAACACTGAAAAGTTTTCATTTTCATTTTCACCATGCTACAGTTCGGCTGCTGTTGTTTTACAAGAAGAAAACCTGAGAATGCCTGTAGAGAAAGTTGCTGTGACATTACACAGAAAAGGAAGTTGCTGAGTCTAAAAAAATAATACATCTGTTTGCAAAAGGGTAGTCGGCGGTGCTTTTTAAAGTGAAAAATGTGAGGTTATGAGATTAAAATAACAAACAGGAAGTCATTTTATATTTAGAAATATGGATTAGAGATTTTTGCAAGTCATATTTTAGCAGGTACTTTCAACATCTTTACTGGAAACTGTAATTAAAGCTCTGCCAGCTGCTTTTTGGCACATGTTCCCATTTGTCTGAGCAGGAAAGCTTCCAGTAGACAATTGACCTCTAAGACTTCAAAGTTTGTGCCATCATCTACCTAGTGAACACTTTACCCATCTGCAGGGACAGATCATGAGTTAATAATTCTCCTCAACCCTGATGTGCTGAGGAGGAAGACTGTGACTGATAATGCCATAATGTCCTTTTCCATCCAATGCCAGCTTTGGTCAAGATTCACCTGGTTTGTAGGATACAGGATATGAGAGGAAAACCCCAGGCCTTCTAAGACCTACCTCTTTCTGATTCTAAAATCCTTTCTTTTACATAGGAAAATTTGTGCCCTCCCCTTGGCCCACAGTCCATGTGGAGTGTGCTTACCAATGGAAGGGTTTGGAGTCTCCTGTGTTTGTCCACAGTAATACTGAGAAGAAAACGTACAGATATTTTATTCTGTGCTATCAGTGCCTGTGTACACCCCAAGAAAATATAAGAGTTGAAAATTAAGTGTTATTATATTAAAAAATATTTTATTCTACTTCCAATTTGACTCAGATTATTTTGTAAGGGAAAATATTAGAAAGCTCTTACTTACTCTTTGGAGTGCCTGTGCCAAAACTGCAAAAAAAATTACTTTTAAATGCTGCAGCTTTTTAAACTCATAACACCACACACTGACCTTGTTATTCTCACTTTGTTGGTGGTTTCTGTTTGGTTTTGGTTGCTTGGTTGATAGATTTTATTGGGGTTTTATTTCAGTTTTGCCATGACTTTCTTCCAGGGGTAGGAATTTTATGATGGCACTTGCAACCTCCTTTACATGTGTCTCTGCATGTGCGTGGAAAATCTGGGTGCTTATCAGTCATGATGCTCTGAGAGTAAATTGCTCCTTGAATCCACCACTCCTGGAATACCTGCCAGTTCCAAGCAGATCAGGGAAGTAATGACAGCAGAGAGCCTGGCCAGGGGTTAAAGCCTCCGTGCACATGCCAACACCAGCTGAACCAGGCAGAAAATGGCTCGAGGCTCTAAGTCTCAGGGTCAATTGTCTACACTCCAAGTCGCTTTTTTTTCATGGAGAAGTGTGGAAGCATGCCAAAAAACTATCTGGCAAGGCTTAAATGAACTGCAGCTCGCTTACTAGCGGTCTGGAGTTCCTTCAGACAACAAGGATTTCAGCAGTTCTGCCCAGAAAGTGGGAGAACTCTTTGGGGAGCACTATATGCGGTGTGATAGTGCAGGCCCAGGGGATCTGGGAGCTGCTGCCTTACACAGGAGCAAGTGAGTCTGAACCAGCGGCCCTGTACAGACTTGCCCTGGAGAGGGAAATGGGATCATCTCCCTGCAGCTTCCAAGCAGGGCAGTTAATGTAGGGAACTTCTGTAGCTACCAGGGTGTAGCTCCTGGACAAGCAAACGCCTTGTGCCTTCCACAGCATCTTGCATTGGAATTCAGGGCGTGTTTTGGCTGAAGTTTTAGGAACAGCTTAGGAAGCAGAGAGCACCAAACTGACACAGGGAGAGCAGGGGTAAGGTGCAGCAGGATGCACCTTGGAGGATGCTGGAGTGGGACAGCCCAAGAGCTGGCCACAGAAGAGTTTGGCAAGACTTACGTGGTCAGGAGCTTTGGTTGTCTCTGGAATAAGCTTAGTTCAAATTACATTTTTAAGTCTTGCCAGGAAGTATTTGTCCAACAGGACATGTCTCTACATGTCTCTGAGAAGTGTCAGGATGACTATGTGAATTTGTCCATTTTGATCTGTCCTACTAGCTATAGGCTGATTTTAGGGGAGTAGGGATTGAGAAGGCTCATGAAATCAAAGTTGCAATCTACTCGATGAAACCCCATTTTGTTTTGTAAAAGCAATATGTGCATATGGAATATTATCTCTTTTGCAATTAATTGCAAGGGTTTTGCAGACTGTTTTCAGATGTCATTCAGTCCCTCACTAGCCCTGAGCCAAACACTGAAGAAAGCTTTCCTAAGGGTTTTGAGTGAGGACAAATTATTTTTAAAGAGGATTAATCTATAACTTCAACATGTGCATTTGCGAGTGTTTGTGGGTCTGATTCAAAGCCAGTGAACTCATTAGGCTCCCTATCGGTCCCTGACCAATTATTTTAAAACTAAATTTTAACACTGTTCTATAAATATTGCTCTTTTATTTTCTGGCCCTGTGGATGTGGCAATGTTTGCTACTGAGAGGCACAGCTGATAGGAACAGTGAGTCAGACGGATTTCCTGAGGAGCAACTTCCAGAGGCAGAGGCAGCGTGTGAGGTTTCTCAATTCCCAACAATACCAATTAGATGGTCTCCTCACACAAACAGACTGCTAAAAAAAATAACTTTCACTAAAATAGCTCCAAGCCTCCTGCCTGGGTTTAAAATAAATCACCTTCTTCTTTAAATATGCCAAACAAAACTCATGTGGGCATCTGAAGAGCAAAGTTGCTAATGAGCAAGCCTGTCCTACCCGACAACTGTGGATATGTAAGATGTGTGTAGGAACTTGTAGCAAAAATGCAAAAGGGTGACTTTCATACAGAATAAAAATTATAAGAGGTGAATAGTTTATGATTTGGAAGGCAGGTTCAGAAAGAAGCTTCTTTTCAAAGACTTGCTGATTAAACCACTGCATACTCCTGTAAACATTTTGTGGTCTAACAGATCACTTTACACTTATAATAATCCTTCCTTTATTAATATGCTGCATTGTTCGTATATTTGGACCTAATTTTAAAAGCAAATTAAGGTTTCTAAGATGAAACTCACTGCCTGAGGCTGTATCTCAATTTGTGAAAAAAACTCCAAACAACACATGAGCTAAGCTAACTGATTAAAGACAATATTTTCCTTATGGTTGATCTAAACCCTCGGGTGCATTCCAGCATGGTGGCCTGCTCTGCCAAAGACTGCACACCTCCAGGTGTGGTTAGGGCTCTGAAGATAATGTCATTTGCTTAGTTTTGATACCATATTTTCCTGCTTAGAATGGACAAATAAGCTAGGATGTAAAACACGCCAATTTTAAAATTATGAACAAATTACTTAACACAATAAAAGCAAGGTAATGAAATAAATGCTGTGAAATCTAGTTCAAGAAGAAAAGAGTCAGAACCACAGCACATGGCTGGCTTAAGCTGCGTGCCAAAGCACACAGTTTTATTATGTAGCTTCAAAATAAATATTATACTGCAAGGGTGTACTTACATCCACCTCGCCTTGGTCAATCACATAGAAGTTGTCTCCTTCATCACCTGGAAGCAAAATACAAAAGGTGATTGTTTCCTGAAGGTCTGCCAAGCTATTCAATAACTTCCTGTCCCTGTATTTAATCCTGTACATATTTGCACAGGTTTGTACACCAGATTAGTTACAGAGAGATTAATTTTCTGAAACATCCTTGCCTATTTGCCTTCATAAATCAAAGTATCGTTATGATTTCTTGCTATTAATATCTTTCACTTGCATTAATTTATCTCTTTTGATTGATTCAACACTTCATTCAGTGTAAACACCCAAGATAATATAGCCTGAGGGTAATGAAGTCCTCCACAGCGTGCTGCAGGCATGCAGGTAAGTTGCCAAGTGTGATAACTCTGATACAGCACAATGAGATGTTGAATATTCCCAACAACCATAAAAATATTTTCCATCTCTAATTACTCTCAGCCAGCCTGTGCCACCCTTATGCATTCTGAGCTGAGGTTTACTTCCTGACTATCTTCAGTTAAGGAAAGAAGAGCTTAATTTGAGTGCTGTTTATCTACATTTAACTGCAGCACTTTGAAACCCTGCAGATCTACTAGTGTGGTTTTGTAGGAGACCTCTCCATTTGTAGCAAAAGACCTGCATCCATGAACTTATCATATAGCTGCACACTTAGATGCTTTTGGAATATGGTTATTCTTTCCATTAAGCAAAGAGGGTGAAATCTCAAATGGAGAAATGTGAATTATACAACCTTAGCAAACATAAAAGAGGAAAGGATTACCCTGTTGTATGACTGTTTCTCCTGCAATGTGTGTGACAGGGAACATGGCATCGAATATGTCACTGGAAAAAAAAAAAGAAACATTTATTAATAAATAAGACCTATTTCTTATCTAGCCAGTAGACCTACCTTCATTGTTTATTTACTATTCATTAGCAGATTTTGCAGAAAAAGAAAAGGAGAATTTTAGCTGTAACTGGAAAGTGAACCCCTGCTCGGCAAGGAATCAAAATAACCAGTTATGCACAAGCTGTGGTTTAAAACTAAGCGAGACCATGATTCAGTGTGTGCTATTTTGAAAGAACTCCTGAATTATATGCAGAAAGGCAGTTCTTGCAGCACTGCACAAACTAGCCAGCCTGAGTATTGCACTGTCTAAGCAGAGAGATTTGGGATTTCAGCTGCCATGGGTCTGTGCCCCAGCAGTGACTGCCAGATGCCCAAACGGGAGCTCTCCTCTTCTGAACATCTGGCCTCGCATTTACAAGCAAAACCTGTTCCACAGTACAGAGCACACTTGGAAAGGTAGATGGCTCTAAATTAACGCAGCATAAGAGCTGGCAGGAGACTGCACTCGCAGTACAGAAGAGGCCAAACTCTGAAAATCTCAGCGAGTTGCTCGTGAGAAGGGAATCTGAGCGATGCTACAGAAAAAGGGGAGCTGCAGAAGAGCCTCGTGCTCATTAATCACAGCTGAATTACACACCTTGCCATGTCTCCAGCACACTGTCACATAGCCTTAAAAGGCCAGGCAGAGCAGTAGGGACGGGAACACACCCTGCACCAACACTTCGGGCAACTTGCCCAAATCCAGTGCTTTGTTTATTGAGGGAGACAGCAGGCTTCGTGGAGCCAGGGCTTCCTTTCCCCACATCAGATTTTGGGGAACTTATTTTCAGAAGCATGAACCACATTGAGATGGGCACTCCCCACCTCTCTTCCCCTTCCTATGCATCAGCCTCAAGGGCTAAAGGAAATAGCTCCCCAACACAAACAAAAGGCAGCAAGAGGGGATTGTTAACTAGTCTCTTCCCTGGCCTGGCCTAGGAATGGTCCATCCAGAGACCACCGACAGCAGCAAGATGAAACACTTCAACCTGGAATGAAGCAAAGTCCTCACAACCATGACAGAACGTGAACAGTGGAGAAACCCAAAATTTTCATCAAAATAGCCAGAAAATCAGCAAACAAACCCGTGAAACCTATGCTACATTTCAATACCTTATATGGGAAATGCATACTGTAAAATCCCATTATTAGCTTATTTCCTGTTCAACTGTTCCAGACTTTATTCAGGCTCAGTTCTAGGAAATGTTTCACTCCTAAGTTCAAATTGCTCATGTCTTTCCTCTTGAGCAGTCTGGATGTTTTTGCTCAGTATCACAGCTCTGCATCAGGAGAACTGGGAGATTTCAGACCAGGCAGCTCCCTTGGCTCCACAGCACCTGCAAGGGATGCTCAGCCATGACCTAAATATAACAAAACAATGTATTTCACCCCTGTTGTTTCATCAGGCCCACTCGATGCTACTCCTACTCACATCCAGGAAACACCTCCACCACAGATAAAAAGCCTGCTCTGAGGCATCAAGGAGAAACCTCTTTCTCACCTTGTTTTGGGCACCAATGTAAAGACCTATAATAAATTACTGTGAGAAGTCTATGGACCATATTCTTAAATCCACTAAACTCAATTTTGTGATCTTAGATGGGTTCAGCATTTCTCCAGTTCAAGGGACTTCTCTGTTGGTAAAAATCATCTGCCTGGTACAGACAAATCTCTGGAGCTGGTCCCTGTGCCAGCCCTCCACTGAGAAGAACTGGGAGCTGAGATTGCAGTGGGTTGGGGGAAAATGCCACACTGGTAGGTGATGAACTGGAACAGCCTCCAAAGGACTTTATGTCCATGAGGCAAGTCATTTTCCAGCAGCTCTGGGACCTGGGAATTCAGTATGACAGAGGCTCCTTTGCCTCCCTGTGGCTTCCCTTTGGCTGTGCTGGGGCACCTCACCAAGCTCTGAGAACAGTCCTGCAGCCTGTAGAACATTTACTGAGGAAATGTGGAAGAGAAGAAAGTCTTCAATGTGATAGATCGAAAAATAGGCACAACACAGTGAATATCAATATCCAAATCAAAATGTGCTGTTCGAACAAACTTGGAAACCTTATCTTTTTAAATAGAAATACAGAGAAAATAACTATCCAGTTTCACCCTTTCATCTTTGTTTTAATCCTGTACCTTATTTATGACTTAACAATTGACTGTACAGTGTCCAATAAATTATGTATACCACTCCACCCTTCTCCAAAATGTTCCACATTTCAATTATACATCACCTTTTAGTTTTATCCAAAAAAAACCCCTCTTTAAAACTCACAGACTAAAACTTTCAGCTGACAGTGTAACGAACCCAAAGTCTATTAGCAGCAGCAGCAGATCTACACTAATATTCTTCCGCATAGCAGAATATAGGTGTAAATATTCTAACACCCCACATAGGATGGAGTGAAGTCCTAATCTTATTTCAGTGAAGTCATAATCTTATTAGACCAAGACTTGAATTTTTAAAGAGACCTTTGAAGGAGATGTCATCAAACATTAGTCTGAGGTACACAGGAACACACAGACACACAAGTTACCCAAAGTTGTGGTGGTGCTCATTTACAACTCCAAAGTGAAACAAGGGCATGTCTTTGATATAAATATAAGTGAAAAATAATATCACATCTGTCACTGACAACACATCATGATGTTTTTTCCTACTAGGGAATTATTGTTCTTAATTGATATAGTTAGGCCAAGATCTCTCACAGTGATTAATGAGTCGTAGTGTTTCTGCTTTTGGATGCTCAATTTGAGATTCATTAAACATCCTCAGATCTCCAATGATATGGATCAGGAGGCAGCCTCAAAGTTTCTCAGCCTAAAGGTCTGGCAGCCAATAACTGGGCCATTCAGAATACCACCAAAGAAAACCACCCTTCTGGAAATTATCATCTCCTAAAATACCAAATGCTTAAGGTCCCTATATGAAATCTGCCTTTTGATTTAATTCAGACTGAGTGTAGAATTTGTTTGGAAACTTTTCTTTTTGCCTTTATCCTCAGCATCTGAAATAAACACAAAAATGTCACAAAGATCAATATACCAAAATACTTTGAAAATCTGAAAAATGTGTTCCTGACTCAAGCCAAAATCTGTAATGCAATAAAAAGACTTATTTTCCACCTCCCCAGTAAAGGTCTGATGCTCCATATTCAGTTCCAGCCATGTGTCCTGGGCCTGCACCATGTAGAGAAAGCAAACTTTACATCCTGAATAAGTTAAGGCACTTGCTAAAGGCATAAACAATACAGCCAAGGCCAAAAACATGGTCTGATGTTTTTTCCTGTACCACACACCTGTTTATGAGACATCCAAAATCATTCTCTGGCCATTACAGCAAAAAAACAGCTCTTACAAATCCAGTGCTGCAACCATCCCAGCACCAAGCACAGGCTGTAATTAGGCTCTTCTCCAGCTCTGCAAAAGTAGGTGGTTGTATTTCTTGGGTTTGAAGGTTAAATTATTAGGGTCAAACACATGCAAAGACATTCCTGACAACCAAATTTTTTCAAGCAGGTTTTATTCCGGCATAAAAAGTAAGCCAGAAAATCAGTAGTTAAGTCTTCGAATGTTGAACTACCATGATTTCATCTTCTGTCTGAGCTGCAGCACCAAGAACACAGCAGCCTCTGTCTCCTGCCCCTGCACTGTTGACACCGACCATGCTCACAACCCTTTGTGCTCAACTGATATGGAAATGGTTTGATTTCTTGCCAGGATTTTTATGATTGTGCTGTAAGTGAGAACTGCTCAGAGGGATTTCTTTATTTTGTTGACAATGTATCGCTTGCCCTCTTTCCAGATGACTTATTCAGGTGATGGATGAAGAAAATAGGGCACCAGATCTGGTATTTAAGCTGTTGTTTCATGAGACTGCAAGAGAGCTGCAATGGACCAAGAGAGCTGCTCTGCACCCAGCATGTCCCGGGCTCAGCATCAGCACTGGGAGGGCTCTTTCTCACCCTCTCCAGAGCCAAAGCTTTTGACAGGCTTTGCAATTTTTTCACAGCTTCCCTAACTCCTCCCAGAGGATCTATGTCTGGTTACTCATGGCACTTGGAGTCAGACATTTGTTGCAATCAAGAGGTATCAAGGGCAGTTTTTTGGCTTGGAAGTGTAGTTGCAAGTGGGTCTCTATGAACCAGAATATCCATGTTTGGATCCAAAAGGAGATGCTAGCAGGACATCACTAATGCTTTCCAGGGGGATTTCTGCAGGTTTAATTCCTTGTAACCTTTCAATAGTATCATTCAAAAACAAATCACAAGAAAAGATTGTGAGCAGCAGAGAACATACAGAGAGCAGTGAACTAGTCCAACAAAGTGAAACCAAGAAATGCGTTTAGACATGAAATCTCTATCTATTCAATCAAAAAATACCAGCTGTCTTCTTAGGGAATATCAAAATTTAAAAGACTTTTTTTAAAAGGTCAAAGATATCAAAGGCTTGCAGCAAGTTTTAACACATAGAGTGTCTTCCATGAGTGTACATGGAATTGCAAACAACTGTGATCAGGCCTGGAATCACAGGGGCTGATCCTCTGCTGTCTGGCATCTCTGATGACTCCTGGCCACCTGGCCAGTTTGAACTAATTCCCTTCTCATGCCAAAAAGGCAAACCCCACTCAAACCAATGAGACTGCAGCTATTTAGACCAGAAAAAAAAAATTTATTGCAGTGACTGCAAAATAAATATGATTAAACACTTTGCTGATTTAATTCAGTAGCATTTTATAGACCCCATTTGCCAAGAGGCAAATGCCTGTGCTAAGAGGAAGCCAGTGGAGAGGGCAGGGCCAAGGGTTTCTCTTTCTCACAAGAAAAAGTGAGTGATAAAAATAAATCATCTCATCTGCTTTTACACCGGGGCTGCTTGGAGTCGACGTAGAATAGGAGTTGGAAAAAAAATGATGTGCACTGTGGGTAATATAGCACTGGCAATAGGCAACTGAGAAGAA